AAACACCCCCCCCTCCCCGCAGCAACAGCAGAAAAAAACACCCACCCTGCAGCAACAGCAAACAAAAAAACACCACCCCTAATAGACTTATAATTACCATAACCCCGGTGAGTCCCTTTTAGGTTACCTATGAGTCTACTTATTACCTACTTACTAAGTCCCCCGATCCTCCAAGTAATGCCCCTGTATGAACCCTAAACCCTAAACCGTAAACCCTAAACCCTAAACCCTAAACCCTAAACCCTAAACCCTAAACCCTAAACCGGAACCTTGGAGGTCCAATGTTTCCACAGCCGCCGCAGGCCTCATAGGGTTTAGGGTTTAGGGTTTAGGGTTTAGGGTTTAGGGTTTAGGGTTTAGGGTTGGGGTTTAGCACGGTACTCCCGTAAGGATTCTAGGGTTTAAGGGTTTAAAGGTTTAGTACAGGTTCTAGGGAATCAGGAATTCTACGGTTTAGGGTTTAAGGGTTTAGGGCTTAGCGTTGAGGGTTGAGGATTCTAGGGTTTAGGTTTTAAGGGTTTAGGGTTTAGGGTTATGGGATATAGCACGGGCTTCCGTAAGGGTTCTGGGGTTTAGGGTTTAGGGGTTTGGGCTTTAGGGTTATGGGATTTAGCATGCGCTCCCGTAAGGATTCTAGGGCTTCGGGTTTCAGGTTGGGTACAGGTTCTAGGGAATCAGGGATTCCAGTTGCCAAACATGGGTAAGGGCGGCGCGATCAATGAGTCGATTGAGCTGTTCGCAAAGGATGTCGCTGACAGCAGGCGGTTCCACCTCACCAGAACAGTTCAGAGGAGACTTGATCCTCAGCACTGAATGGAGGGAGGAAATGGAAGCCAACACGTCTGACGACATAGCGGCTTACCACCCACTACTGTAGGATGAGCCCTAACCCCAAAACCGAAGCCCTAGCCCTAAACACCCTAAGCCCTAAGCCCCACCCCCTGCATCTCTTAAGGATCCCCTAATGACCCCAAACCGTACAGTTTGAAAGAGAGGGAGAGCGAGAGACTTTAGGGTTTAGGGTTCAGGTGTAAGCAGAGATAGAGACTCCACGCCTACTGACCTTCCTTCCCAGCCCTGTCACCGCCTCTTCCCCCGTCAACACCTACATGACCCGGGCTCTTGTTCAGGAATTTAGCTTAAGTTACCATCATAAGGAAGCCACGTAAATCATGGTATGATTTACGATAGATTTTATTATATTATGGAAGCTTAAGAGCGTAGGTGAAGGAGCATGGAGCTTAGTAAGTATCTTTTTTACAATCACACATCACATGCCCTACCCCCTGAAACTCCGAACCCCCGACCTTACAAACCAAGGATACACAAAAGACAGGTACACCGGGAAGTTCAAGAAAATCGATGGAAACGAAAACGAAAGCCATCAGAAGCCTAAACCTTACACCCTGAACCCCAAACCCGAAACCAAAAACCTCTCCAAACCCCCTAAACCCTAAACCCTAAACCTTGAACCCCAAACCCGAAGCAAAAAATCCTCACACCCCTGGACGCCGAAGCAAAGCAAGAGCCTTTGTAGTTGCAGGGCGCTGGCCGGCCAAGGCGACCTCTCCGAAGCGAACGAGGCGTCCAGGAAGTTACAAACCTTGGGTTTATTCCCCAAACAGCTTTAGCTGAGGGGTT